ACGCACGGGTGGAAAGGCATCTTTAAAAAGACGTCCACCCGTGAATGCTCTTTTAGAGTTTGCTCTTTTAGAATTGCTCTTTTAGTGTGCTGAAGTGCACAGGGGAGATGGCCGCCTGCAACACAAACAGGGGATAGTGCAGCCTGATGTGTGCAACCCACTCAACACGGGAAGAACCACCGCCGCTGAAGCGCCGTACCGCCAGCACGAGAGCTTCTGAAGAGCGTGCTTGTACTCGATCTGTAGATCACTCGTTAAGCAGAAGGCCAGGAGCAGAACGATGAATCCGCTCGGCTCCGAAGCGAAAAGCTGAATATGCGCTGCACCTGTTGCCTACTTATACTCTTATACACTATGATCAGCGGCAGCTGGATGCAATAATCGCATGCCAATGTGCATTGGCTCGTTTAGTTTACACTCGAATTGGATTGGTCTCTCTAAGCGAGATCCCAATTAGTTGGTCATCCGACATGACGTCGAGAGTAACCGACTGAGAGGGAACTGCAGCTGTTTCAACACCTATACCCACACAGTAAAACTCCTAGTGTTAAATTAATGCTCACAGTGTTTAAATAATCCTCATTCAGAGAGTTAAAAAAGTAACACTGAAGTAGTGTTAAAGTTAATGAGATAATTAGTTGATTAATTGAGTGACAACTGACCATTAATAAAAAAAAAACACCTGCTGTTAACAAGCTGAATCACGGAAGGAAAGAGAAACAAGAACAGAAAAAAGAGAAACTCTCTCTAAGCGAGATCCCAATTCGTTGGTCATCCGACATGACGTCGAGAGTAACCGACTGAGAGGGAACTGCAGCTGTTTCAACACCTATACCCACACAGTAAAACTCCTAGTGTTAAATTAATGCTCACAGTGTTTAAATAATCCTCATTCAGAGAGTTAAAAAAGTAACTCTGAAGTAGTGTTAAAGTTAATGAGATAATTAGTTGATTAATTGAGTGACAACTGACCATTAATAAAAAAAAAACACCTGCTGTTAACAAGCTGAATCACGGAAGGAAAGAGAAACAAGAACAGAAAAAAGAGAAACAAGAACTACAACTGACTTCAGCCACAGCCTTAGATGAAATCACATACATTAATTATTTTTATTCAGTAATATTTTTTCTTTTGTATTTGGAGAGAATTTTATGGTACTAATTCATATTTATGCAATAATTATGAAAAAATTTTCCCATTGAAAATAGTAAAAAAAAAAAATTCTAATTTTTCAATTAATGCAGTATTTCAGATTAAAATAGAGACTAGGCATTTCAAATCCAAATTTTGAATGCAGATTAGCACCAGATAAAGATAAAAGAGTTTCTGCGCAGATACCCTGAAGGGCGATGAGAGCACCGGAGCGGTCGTGCTTCACGCGGGGGTTAACGACACCAAGCTGCAGCAGACGGAGACACTGAAGAGGGACTTCAGGAGCCTGATCGAGACGGTGTGCAGCACATTGCCCGCGACGATGATCATCGTGTCAGGACCGCTTCCCGCCGCGTATCGACGAGGACACGAAAGGTTCAGTAGACTTTTTGCTTTAAATGAATGGTTATTGTCATGGTGTAAAGAACAGAAACTGCTCTTTGTTAATAATTGGAATCTTTTCTGGGAGCGTCCTAGGCTTTTTCGCGCTGATGGCCTGCACCCCAGCAGAGTCGGAGC